TTATCATCCACATTTGATTCACTAGGCATACTGTGAACAAAATATAACTAAAATAATTATCATAAGTCATATCAACCACCATTAATTCAATAAAATAAGCAATCAAGCATTTAAAAAGTAAGGACAAATTAACATCAGTTCTCCAACCAACAACATCACAGTGTTTGTAAATGAAAATAGTACAACATCACCACAAAATGGAAAAAAAAAGTACTTCAAGCTTCGAGTTTAACATGGTACTTCAACATAAAAACAATCACATATTAAAACAACAGTCAGATCAAAGTAGTTCCAAGATAGGTCATCTCCTTGTTTCTGACATCTTCACAAATGACACCCTGAAATAAGGATCCTTGAAAGCCTTTATTGCTTTCATGTAAACCTCATTGGACACCCCTTCCATATTGTTTAAAATGTCCAAGCAAGTAACATTTGAATAAGGATCTGGACTACTAACTTCACTATCTGATTGACAACTAGCTTTTCCTTGGATCTTTGCAAGCTTCTCTTTTAGATAAAGTGTTCTAATTTTAGTTTCTTCATTCCTCAAACTAACTGTAGATGACCACTGTGCTATACATGCCTCGACTTTATCACTTTTACTGACCTTAGGTTCCTTACGTCGTCGTTCACTCGATGTACCAATTTCATTACGTCGACGAGTATTTGAAACCACATTGACTTCATCATCGTTTTCCGCAGTCACATGTACTCCTCTATTCAAAAAATCATCTTCTAGCTACCTTTCTTCCTCTGATGTGTTTGGAAGTTGGGTGGAGGCACTACCTAATCCTCCAGTAGCTATAGTCCCGCTGAACATCTCTCCAAGAGTGTGGTAGTGCTTACATCCTTCCCTTTTGAACAACTTGTAATCTGACTTGTTAATCTAACATTGAAAAAAGAAGCCACATTGTTAGAGTGTTCAAAAAAAAAACAATGTAAAATTGATAAGATAAAAAATAAGGACGAACATATTCTTTCATAAATATATGTACCGTATAAAAGTGTTGCCAAACTTCCTCTGCAGCATTAACTTTGTTGGTATTTGGATCCCATGTAACACCTGTATATCCCAAAAGTTCAGAGAATGTGTGATGAATCTTACGCAAGCGATTCCACTTTCCTTTTAATCTATATATGTTGTAATCCATTTTTGTTGAAGCTATCATGGTTTCATTGATCCTACCCCATTCATCTCTTGTGAATGTAGAACATTGCAATGCATTTGATTTCACTTTCTCGTAACGAATTTCAATAAAAGCTTGTTCATTCTCGTCCGACCATGACATTTGTTCCTTATTCCGAACTCTGTGACCACCCACGTTGAAGCTATATTCATATACATTAAATTATCATCAAATATATAAGACCTTCCATAGGCGATTTGAGGATATATTAATGTATTTAATTATAGTTACACACCACCAAATGCTCAAAAGCATACCTAACACATGTACCCATAATTATAAGGATCAACACATTGCCAAACATCATTTTAACTTACAAATTCAAGAATCTTTGCAATGAAGTTACTACCAACAGATACCAAGTTGGAAAAGTAATCAGAAGTATGGTTTTGGCCAACTTACCAAAACACTGTACATTGATTTGAATTTATAGGAGTACAATGTAACAGAATAACCAAAGCAAGAGAAAATGTAGGAGCTAACATAGCTCACAGATGTACATGTTAGTCTACTAAATCATCCCTTAAACTCTGAGAAATTTGCGTCTGTTATGTTAACGGGTTGGTGTTAAATCCAGGTCTGAAAAGATGCAGGAAAAGCTTCAGGTTAAGGTGGCTTAATTATCTGAGGCCTAATATTAAATACGATGAATTTTCTGATGAGGAAGATAGAATAATCTGCACACTATATGCAGCCATTGGAAGCAGGTATACTTATACAAGCAAGTCAGATTACATTTTCTGGCTTTCCCCACAGTTTTTGAGTATTTCTTGATAATATCATGAAGAAAAGAGGGATACAAATGCAAAAATTTGAAATTGTTGAAGAAACATATTTTACAAGATTCTGACAGTTTCATGTGTGCATGCCATTTTAGATCTTCAACTAATGCTAAGTCTCACTCTTGTTCATGTGTAGGCAAGGGGATTTCTCTAACATAACAGACATAAATCATCCGCTGGAATTCTAGAAAGGTTCAAAATTTCTCTATTTATCTTTGTTTCTTAATAAATTGAATGGACACTAAAAGACATAAATATGTACACATAGAAAAAGATTCATCCCATAAACTCTCGAGAAATCCCCAATCTGTACCCACAAGGGATCAAGAATAATACATATCCGAAAACACATACGTATTGAAAATAAATTTCGTCACAGAATTGAAGAGATGCAAGTCCACAACAAACACAAACACATTCAACCAGTCTCATTGAAATCAGTTGTCAAAAAAAAAAAAAAAAAAAAAAAAAAAAAAAAAAGAAAATTGGTCCTTCAATTGATATTATCAATAATTATTCACATAATTATTGACTTGGGATGACCTAAATTGGTCATCAATATTCAAATTAGTCTCTAAATTTTCAATAAAATCATTTATCTTATAAGGTTTGTTGGATTAATTTGTCAAGAAAAAAGGTTGACGGCCAATTTGCTACAATACCCATAAGTTGAGGACTTCTAAATTAATTTGCTACAAATAAAACTTTCCTCCAATTGATGCTATTTATGTTATAAAAAAAAATTAAAAAAAAAAAAAAAAAAAAAAAAAAAAAATCAAAAGGCAACAATCCCTGATAATGAAAAACCCAAAATGACCAACATCACAATTGCTCCCACTCATTCAATTTAATTACAAACTTCTTTCAAGACTTGAAAGCAATTTCACGTTTATGCACACATTTGGCTACAATTAACATTTATTTTTGAGCAACATAGAATACACTAGCCGAGATCTACCCCTCACAGCTTCCAAAATTGGATATTAAACTCAGAATAAATAGATGAAAACAAATACACATAGATGGTGGAAGCTCATATTCTGTGGGTGTAAAACGGTCTCTCACGTCGTGGCAACAACAATCAGTAGGAGAAATTAGTTTATAATCATCGCTACCCACGTCAATTTTTCAATTGTAAAGAAACATTTCAACGAAATATATAGCAACAGGAGCTGAAAATTAAGCAATGAAGACGTATAATTCATTGAAAAATGGAAGAAATGCAAATGGAATTGATGAAATTCTTACAGAAATTTACACCTCTTCAGGCAATAAACCGATCGATCTGAGGAGCCGAACCGAGGAGAATAGAAAATCGTCGGAGTTGAAGACTTCACTGAGGCTAGTGGAGGCACAGAGAAAACCCTACAGACAGAGAGGCGATAAGTGTTACGGCAATGAGAGTGTGAGAGAGAGATACGGGTTGGTTTAAGATTTGGGTTGTTTCCCGTGTTTTCCAATCAAATCGTGTTTTCTACAGAAAACACTCAAAACGTCATTTTTGACGATTTGAGTTTTTAGCGCAATTTTTTTTTTTCAAAACTTCATTTTCGAAAACGTGAAAGAAAACACGTTTTCATCATTTTGGAAAATCGAAAACAGAAAATGGCTCGAAAACAACAAAGAGAACGGACCCTTAACTTCTAGAGAAATTGAGAACAAGAATTCACCTTTTTTCCGTCTATGGAGTAGCTTCATGAATTTTGTACATATCCAGTATAATTTTCAACAACCACAATCCCGAAAAGAGAATTTTACGACGTTGTTTTAAATAGAGAGGGTATGGTGTACCAATTATATTTATTTACTTTTTCGTAGATGAGGGCCACTTTGTAAAATAAATGTAATGTATTTATCAAACTTATTATTTAACTAGTGTGTACTTATTATGTGAAGGATTCCAGCTCAACGCATTTAGAGTGAGATTTTGAGAAGAGTTACTCTTTGAGAACACAATGTTAATTACATTTTTCAGGGAATCCACAACTTTTCAATTATACATATCATCAACATTCATTAAAATTTATTAAAAATCTTATTTTAATTTGCACTGAATAAAGACTTTCTTAATTAAGAAAGGCCATTGCTTAGCCTCCATTTGAGTAATTTATAAATGGTTTATAAAGAGGAATAATAGTTGATTCCTTGGTATAATGGTTGTGGCGTGGTGCGGGCAGTGGTAGTGGCAGAGGCGCACCGGTGAGGATGTAGAGGTGTTGGTTGGTGGACCAGTGTTGCGGTGGCAGGGAGGGTGAGCCGTGGGAGTGGAAGGTGAAAAATATTCTTTTATTTAAATTATTTTCTTCTCTTTTTTATTTTTATGAAGACAAATCGAACTCGCAGAAGTTGAAATGAGGGAAAATGGAAAGGCATTTTTAAACTTTCTTCGGAGTGAAATTAGGAATTGAGTAACGGAGGATTCGTTGGAAGCCATATATTTGGATGGATGTAACCAATTTATCAAAGCTTGGAAACACGAACGTTAAAAAAGAAGTTAAAGACGAAAGTATAAAGATTTAAAAAGTTAGGAACATGTTGTGATGTTCTAAAAGATAATCTAAATGAAGTTCGGTCGAAATTAGTAGCATAGTAATTTATTGCATAAAAGGACTTGATATATATATATTAAAATAATAATAAAAAATTTAGTATATGAATTCAGAGACAGATCAAGATTTTTGATATACAATACCCAAATATCAAGTGATATTTGTGACAAATCAACTTACTACAAAAGCAAACAAATAATCTGACTTATCTTAAAATCACTAATGCAAAAGAATAAAGCCACGTGTATACTCTTTTTATACATCATTGTGCACATCATCCGAGTTGACAACGTGTGAATGATCGAAAACCTTTTTTTTTTTTAAAAAAAAGAAAAGAAAAGAAAAGTAAAGAAAAACTGTTAAATCGGAGCTTGACATGTGACAGAGTGCACACAAAGCTGTATACTAAGATGTACATGAAGCATTGTTGAATGCAGAAACACAGATGAAGAAATGCCATCAACTTAAAAACATGATAAACATCTCAGTCGAATAGTTGGCGAAACTGCATTATAAAACTGAGGATCAGTTCACAAGTTTCAATTCATTTTTATTTTCTTCTACGGACACTTGACATGTAACTTGAAAATTAAGCTGCACTCAAAAGGAAGCTTGTCATTCCAGTTTCAGGCCACAAAATATTCTTAAAAACATCGACTGAAGGTCACAAAGGACATAAAATGCTCAACCTGAGATCCAGAATCAAGGCTTATCAAGTATATCATCACCCTTGTTACCAAATTTAAGCAAAATCAAAACATAATGCAAAACAGAAGTGTTAAAGAGTGTCACACGCCAAGTTCACTTAACAATGCATATCTTGATAACAGATGCAGCTCCAATTCGATGAAGCGCCACAACAGCATCGCCCAGCTTGCACAGCCCTTTCTTAGTGGCTGATTTCAGGGCAGCTTCCAAAATTTCTTCAGTTGATTCTGTATCAGTTGCTTTTGCAGATCCTTCAGCAAGAAGGGGAATCAATCCTCTGTATATCAGGCTATGCCTTGCTGGTGTTTCATCACTGACAGCCCAATCGAATGAATCTGTGGTAAGAACTGGAACGACAACTGATAAAATTGGGACTGCTGGCCTATATTTTGCAACTAACTTCGCTGTAGTCCCACCACGAGTCATCACTACAATGAGTTTTGCTCTAGCCTTGTTTGCAGTGCGCACAGCTGATGAGGCCAGAGACTCCAATGGGCTCATTGGGAGTGGGGTAGACCTAATCATCTCCTTGAAGATCGCCCCATAGTCCAGTGAAGACTCTGCTTCAATACAGATTTTAGCCATAACTTTTACAGCAAGCTCAGGATAAGCCCCAGCAGCACTCTCCCCACTCAGCATAACACAATCAGTACCATCCAGAACGGCGTTAGCTACATCGGTTGCCTCAGCGCGAGTGGGTCTTGGAGACTTAATCATGGACTCAAGCATCTGTGTGGCCGTTACAACAGGCTTGCCTACAAGATTACACTTGTATATCATCATTTTCTGTGCCAGGAAAATCTTTTCAACTGGAATTTCCATTCCAAGATCACCGCGTGCAACCATGAATGAGTCCGTCTCACGAAGGATTTCATCAAAGTTAATCACTCCCTCTTGATTTTCAACCTTCAAATAGATTCCAACAATCAATAAATAAATAAGAAAACTTATGAGGAATACCCATTTTTATCACTTGCCAAAATCCACTTTGAAGAAAAATAAAGAGGAACAAGAATATATATGGTAGATGGATGCAAAATAACCAATGGCCATGATACGCTAGTCTTTTCTTCCCTTCCTCTAATCATTAAAAATAAAAATAAAAATTTACATACCTTCGACATTAACTGTATACGCTTGGCATGAGGACCAAGAACCTTACGCACATTAACCAGGTCAGAGCCCTTGCGCACGAATGAGAGCGCAATCATATCAATGTTATTAGGAACACCCCATTGGAGGATATCTTCTTTGTCCTTCTCTGTAAGCGTGGGAAGATCCACCACCACACCAGGTAAATTCACATTTTTTCTCTCCCCTAGCATAGCAGTATTTTCACAACGGCATCTCACAGTTCCAGAAGCTGGATCGCATGACAAAACAGAAAGGGTGATAGTACCATCAGCACAGAGAATAGCATTTCCAGGCTTCAAGTCGACAGCCAACTTCTGGTAGCTCATTGAGATTGTTTGTTCATCCCCTTTAATGCTGTAATCAGTAGTTACAGTAATTTCCTGGCCTTCTTTGAGTTGAATAGGTTTTCCATCCTTCAAGAAACCAGTTCGAATCTCAGGCCCCTGCATAAGAAATGACAAACAACATTATGGTTCAGCTCCAAGCAGTAACAAGAAGTTGAAAATGACAGTTTGCAGTGTTATTTAGGGATAGAAGCAATTAAATCAACGAGACTAAGATCAAATCCAAAATTAGATATCTATCATTCATAAACATGGTATAGAAGGAACATAAATAACCAAGTACAAATACATGCAAGTAGAAAATGGTCAGGCAGTTGGTTAAGCTTATGTTTGGTTCATGTTTATAAACTATTTACAAACACTCAAGCCACTTTTTTATCCAAACATTTTGAGGGATAAACAAGTACTAACCATGTATCCATCACTCATTTCTCATTATGAGCTAAGCGGAAATGGAATATTATAATGAATGAGAATAGGTCAAGGTGAAACCTACATGGAATGTTCTTTTGACTTTCTATCCGAGGTTTTGTTTCATATCTTAACCTCTCTATTAAATTTCCCTTCGGTTTGCTGGATTTTAAGTGACCGCAACCCACAAAACTGCAGCCAGTGAAGAGAATTAAAGCAAAGGAAAAGAACAAAATGGTTTTGGGTATGAATTCAGTAAAACAAAGGGCAAAAAGTGACCAAAAGAATTATCAGATGAATAAAAGAGGAGCTCCAAAGCAGGGCCAGGAAACCAAGCAAGAGAGCTTAATGAATAACCAGCTACATAAAGTGGAATGAAATTGCTCCTTAAATATAAAGTTCAATTTAGTTTATGCCCCAAGTGGACAGAATCACAATGATTCTCTTAAACATTTCTGAAGTTCAGCTGTATTTAATTTTGGTATTATCTTCGATAAAATCTTTACCTAGACAAAAAAGGAGGAAAAAAGACTTCAAAAAATTAAGAGCCTGTTTGAGCATTATTTTTTGCCCAAAATGCATTTTGGGATGGTATTTCGATGGAGAATGTGTGGTTAAAAAATAAGAATTTTTTTTAATTGCGTGCAATATTATTTTATTGAAGATCGTGTGGTTGAAAATAATAGAGGGACAAATGTATTTTTGGAAATAATGGGGACCAAACAAGGCCTAAAAGGGCAAGAAAGGATTACAATCAGATTCTACAAGGTTTTGTTTTCCCTGACAACCATTTTCATAGCTGAGAACTAAACAGCATGTCTCCTAATATCATTTCTACAACTGAAATGGCATGACTAGAAAATATTCATCCTATATAGTGGCTGGCAGTGATAACATCACCAACATAACGGCAACAGAAACCTAATTCTCTGTGAATGTCAAAATCATCATACTCTTTTTCTTAATCCAAGACTGAAACCCTTTAATGTAGCTCAAATCTCAACCCAACATCTTTGCTCGATTACTAAACAAGGTGATGCGTACCCTTCATGGACACTGTTACTTACCTCTCACTTTCCACCCTGACAAAACACAGGCTATAGATTATATACATCTTTGATGATCTTTTCCTTTAGACATTCAGACTTGAATAAGAAACAGAAAAATAGCTAAATAAATACTTCATCTTGTATAATATAATACCTGACAACATCTCCAGCAATAAAATAATTTTGAATACTTGATTTCATAATTGGAAATTCAAATCATCAAAAAGTTCATTTATACTAGGGGCCTAGTAAATAAAAATCAAAATAAATATTCATATGCAACTAACATAAGAACTTAGAAATGTTCTGTGCAGATAAATCAAGTTCAACTCAAAGCACAGAATTCTACATAGTGAACAACAAATGAATATTCGAGTAAATAAAACTTAATACACAAAACGGGCAGACCTTGGTATCAAGCATTACAGCACAAAGAATTTGAGTGTTCTGCATAGCAATCCTTAGATTGTCCAGAGTCTCCTGATGGTACTCATGGGTCCCATGTGAAAAGTTGAACCTGGCAACATTCATTCCAGCTCTAAGGAGCTTCTCTAGCATTGGCACTGACCTGGACGCTGGCCCCAAAGTGCACACAATTTTTGTCTTGGGGACACGGCCATCACTTGGAATACCCTTCAAAATTCCCTCAATGTCTATGTTTGCCATTTTCAATTCCCAGTCTTTCTAAAGGCACGCAGAATTCAGTCCAGTAAACTACCTATCAGTAAAAGAGCAACCCCATATAAGCAACATAAAGATCAAAACAATTTAATACAAATACAACCAACATAACAAAAGGTAAACTGGAAATGGAAATGGAAATGGAGATTCAAAGAAAATTATAAAGTCATGCATGAATCCTACTAAAATCTATATATTCATTGACGTATTCTTTTCGTTTTGGGGCCATCTTGTTGAGTATAAGATTTAATAAAAGTTTAAACCCTTTTACATAATGAAATTATCGTGCCCAAATTGACTTAGCAACAAATTCCACCAAGCTCCAAAAAAGAAAGTAGAACTGTACAAAAATAAATTTTGAAGAAAGATCTGATGTTTTCACAAGTAAAAATTTTGCTGCATTTACTTCATATTATCAACAGAAATCTAAAATCACAAGATTCACAACATGGGTGGTTCATAAGAAATCAGTTTTCGTACACAAATGAAATAAACGAGGACTTACCAAAAAATACAATTATATCAACAAACTAAAAGCACAGAAATTAAATCGACATAATTTTCAGATCCAGAACCACCAAAAAATCGTTTCACAAAAACAAAATAAGAAATCACCAATACCAGATAGAAAATAGCATTTAGCGTTTGTGTTGAGGAAAACTTATCAAAAAACATAAACAAATAATTGCGCTCACCACAGAAGAGTGTGAAGTAGAAGAAGAAGGAGCCGCCCACAGATGTTCTTTCCTCTGTTTAAGATTCAAGTTCGCACACTATAAATATTTAATTACAGCGTGCGGTAAAAGACAATACTGCGGACGTTGATAGTTTTAAAAACCTTTGAACAAATTGGAGAGGGTTAAATTCACGTATAGTCATCCAACTTGATATTTAGTGTGGTTATAGTCATTCAATTTTATTTTATTTTATTTTATAATGATCCCTCAACTTTATACTTAGTATCAATATGCCATCCAACTTGGATTTATTCCAGAATGACTTCCCAATTTTATATAATGTTTCAGTTTCCCAATTTTATATAACGTTTCATTATAACTACCCAACTTCTTTTCATTCTTTTCACCAATTTTAAAAATGTGTAAAATGGTAATTTTGCATTATATATTTTTAAAAAATAATATAAAAAATTATTTTAGAAAAATGAACTGAAATAAAACTGATTTAAAAATAGTTACTTAAAAAATGAAATAAATTAAAAATTGTTTAAAAAATATTCCTTAAAAATAAAATAAAAAATTATTTAAAATCGGGGTGACTATGATAACACCAAATATAAAGCTAGCAGGTCATTGATGGATTTATCCCAATTAGAGAATATACTTACGGCTTTTTTGGTGAATATTTAACTGGAAAGTAAATAAGTAAAATTTAGCCTATCACAAAAAAAAAATAAAAAATAATAATAATAATAATAAAGGATGCTACAAGTTATTCTATTAATTAAAATTTAAAACAAGTTTGATTGTAAAGATGAAATTTATATGGAAAGAAAATAAATTTAGGCAATTTAATTGCCTAGAAATTATTTACATGGAAATTATCAATTAAATATATTTGATTAATTTTATTTTCAACCTAAAATATGTTATACTTATTTATTAGTAGATAAATGAGAGGGATGGAGTATATGAAATAAAAAAAGAGAGTGGATTATGTAGAAAATAAAAATTTACTCTCCTTGAAAAAAATATTTTCCTTGTTTTCAAGGAAAATATGGTCACGCGATCAAAAGTAAAAAATATTTTCACAAAAAATATCAATCAAACAGCACAAAAGTAAGATTTTGAGTGGAAAAATGATATTTTTCATAAAAATATTGTCAATCAAACGCACTTTAAGTTACTTTCTTTCCACTTTTTCATTTATTTTGAATTACATATAAGAGCAACTTTTGAAATAAGTGTCGAGTTTTCTAGGCAGTCACTGAAAATTTACTAATATTTTAATTGGGTTACTGAAATAGATTGTCTCGATTGTAGTATTCTGACATATTTTGTCAACCGTCATAATGCACATTGACGAAAATTACTTAATTGTGAGTCATATTTGTAACTAATTTTTCAAATAATTGATAAGTAGTGCCCTAAAAAATAAAATAGCAAAATTGAAGATTACAGTAGCATCACTAAATTAAAGGTTTATTAACACAAAAACGTCATTATATTTGAAATTTATTGTGCTAAATGTCCCCACCTTTCATTTTCTTGCGTTTTCACCCCTATATATACCTTTATTGTGGAAATAATCAAGTCCATCCATTTTCTCAATAACAATGTGTGAAATGAAAAATATACATTCCTATTTAAATAAAGGAAATTAGCACAAAACGTCCATGTAGACATAAAAAATAAAATAAAATAAAGAAAATGACCGGATTGATTTAAATCACTAGTCCAATTAAATCTTAAGTCTATTAAAATCCATAAAACCCAAGGGTCAATACCACATTTTAAATAAAAAAATAAACAAACAAATAAATAAAATCATAATTACTCAATTATCCCTTTTAATTAAATATAATTGAGTGACTACCAAAATTAGCACAAATTTTCTCCTATAAATAGGACCAATGGTCTACAAGAAGAAGAGGAGAGAAAGCTTGCAAGAAGAAGCGAAAGCAGAAAATGCAACCACGAAGTGTTGAAGAAATTTCAAAGTCGGAGGAAGAGAAGAAATTCTCTCGAATCTAAACTTGGTGAACCCCAAGAAAATCAAAATCTTCTTCGAATCAAACAGGTTCATGCCAAGTCCAAGAAGATCAAAGTCTTCTTCAAATCAAATCAAATTCAAATCCAAGTCCAAACCTCAAAATTCAAGTTCCGAACAAATCAAGTCTCAACAAATCAATTTTTCAACAAATTCTCGAAGACCAGGATTCAAACCACGTGGCCCTTCGTCTTCAAATATTCAAATCATTAATTAGAGGATTTTTGTAATTTTGCAATCACAATAAGGTGTTGTTTATTAAAATACAATTTGTAAAGATTTCTGTATCTTAATACATGAAATTTCGTCGTACAAATTTTTTGGCACACTCAGTGGGACCTTCTTATCCTTTCATCTTTTGATCTCAAAATTTTCAAATTTCAACTACTACATCTGCAATGGCAGGCGAAAAGGCAAAACAAACTATGACTCATCTTGAAGAGACACTTGCCGAACTCTTTTCACGTGATCAGGGTCCAAACAAAAACTGGGAAAACTCAACTGGTCACACCACTGAAGGTAAAATGAAAATTGCCTTCAAGAAGCCAAACTCTCATTCGACAGAAAAGACCATGAGTTCAGCGAAAAGTTCTCGTTCGGGCTCCATCTCCAGCGGTAGATCCTTGTCTGGATCACCTCATGCCATTTCTCAACAAAAGTATGAAGATGATGCCTCATCAGAAGAATCATTTAAGCCAGTGATGGTCACAGAAGCGGCATCGGGCTCAGATGACCGAATTCAACAAATGGCCTTAGCTATTGAAAAACTAACAAAGTCGTTGGAAGACAAAGATGCACAGATTGCTGCACTCATACACAGGCTAAAGTCGCAAAATTTACCGACTAAAGAAGATCAGGAAAATTCAGGATCTTTCAAGGCCAAAGAGTTAGAAGTCCAAGAGCGCCAACAAAAGCAAGATATGCACGATCGGACAGTTGTTCAAAACGTGTTGTGTGACACCACTCAACTCTCCGTTGGCTCTCTATCCATCCAACAACTTCAACATATGATTGCAGACACCATTCGTGCCTAGTATGGTGGTTCATTGCAATCTTCACTAGTGTATGCCAAGCCCTAGAGTCGTTGAATCGACGAAATAAAGATGCCACTCGATTATCAACCTCTAAAATTTCAGTGTTTTGATGGAAATGACAACCCAAAGCAACATGTTGCTCATTTTATTGAGACGTGTAACAACGCAGGTACTTAATGACACTATGGTGAAGCAGTTCGTACGTTCCCTCAAAGGTTTTGTATTTGAATGGTACACGGACTACCGGCAAGGTCAATTGATAGTTGGGATCATCTCGAGTGAGAGTTCCTAACACACTTCTACAGCACTCGAAGAACTGTGAGCCTTCCAGAACTTGCTCGAACAAAGCAGAGCAAGGAAGAGCCTGTTGTAGAGTACACTGAATGTTGGAGAAACCTCGTGCTTCATTGCAAAGAATGAATAAGCGAAGCATCTTCCATCGACATGTGTACAAGGCATGCATTGGGATTACTCTATAATCTCGAATCAAATATGCCTCACTCATTGGAAGAATTGGCGATACATGTTCATGACCTAGAGCTCCAAATTGCAAGGCATGGGAGTTACTTACCAAGTGATCCACGTGGCAAGAAATATCATAACAAGGAAATAAAGAAGGATGTCAAAGCAGGTAAATCCAAAGAGACTATGTCGATTTCTATTTTCCCTGCAAAGATAGCCTTCCAGGGGTCGAGCTCAAACCTAAAATCGAAGTCAGAGTTCAAACCTAACAAATGGCAAATCCAAAGCAGAGGTTATGTGACTCTAAAAGGACTTGAAGGAAAGAAGTACCCATTCTCAGATTCTGAAATTTTTGGAATTTTGGATCAGCTCCTTGAACAGAAGATAATCAAACTTTCAGTACCAAAAAGACCCGAGGAAGCTGGTAAGATCGATAATCCTAAATACTGTAAATTTCACAGAATCATTAGCTACCCAATGAAAAAATACTTCGTCTTGAAAGATCTTATTGTTCGTCTGGACAAAGAAAATAAGATCAAATTTGAAACTGAAGAAAATCCAACAGCCACCTGCTCGATGGTTTCATTTGGATTATTTGATCCAATTCTCATTACAGAGAAGAAACAAACATTTTCTGATGTACACGATGCCTGTAAATCCTCAGTTGTGGAGTTTGGACCTCAACTTCCAGAAGGAGCCATCCCAGTGAAGTTTGAAGTGGACGGAGAAATCACTATCAGTTACATCTATCCGGGGATGGATGGACCGAGCGCACCCAATTGTCCAACCTTTTATGAAATTATGACAGCTGACTTGGATATTTGGGATTCTGACTTAGAACCTGAAGATGAGATCGATGATGGCTGGTCTACCTTCATAAACAAGAAGGAGAAATACCGAATGCCAAATAAAACAGATAAAATATTACTTTCTACGTCTCTTACAGGAACAGAGCTGGAGGAATTGGGTACAAAGATGCAACCCAATAAAGATCAGGGGGCATGGACCCTTATGAAAAGACGTTGTCTAAAGGCTCCACGACTCCCAAATTCTAGTGTTCATGATAAGAAATCAAGACCAAGGAACAACCAAAGAAGAAGGTCCAAAGCCAAATCAAGAAGATTCACTAAATCGATGGGGGTAGAAGCTGCTTCATGCGTTCCTCCCAGACTGTCAACCTTAGGTGATTATTTTCCCAAGGGATTCTTTGACAATGAATGGTTTACCTCCAATGTCATCAATGTGGAGAAGAAAAATGAGATGAAAAATACATCCGAACAGACTTCAAAACAAAAGAAAACTATCTCATGGCTCAATAATATTCCTGCCAATACGAGTCTAGCAAAGTCTCTTAGTCTTTCTTTCGATGATCGAACGGTTTTGGTCACAGCGTTAATCGATCCGGAAGAATATGAAGGCAAAGTCTTAGAACATATTAGATCCGCAACTCGAAAAGATTGTATGATCACCATAACATTCAATGATGAAGATTTACAGTTGGGTTCTCGTCTTCATAATAGGCCACTATATGACAACGGTTATATCCAAGGATACAAGATAAATCTT